TAAACATTCAAATTGTAAGTTTGATTTTGAACTTTAGAGTATATTGAACCCATAAAATAAAGAGTAATATGAAATTATAATTTTTTATTAGAATAAAATCATATTTTTTAACAGATATTAACGAAAAGGGGTTACGTGTTATATGTGCACAAACGTCATGAGATGTAGGAGTAATATTTTAAATGTGAAGGGGTTCAAATGATTAAGTGACAAGCATAAGGGGATATATGTATAATTTATCAATTTAGTTTTAGGTACACATTGATACAAATTTCTATCTTTGAGGGTGTAAATTGAGATTTTTTATCTTTGGGGGTTCATATTGATACGAATTTCTATCTTTGAAGGTGTAAATTGAGATTTTTGAACTTTGAGGGTGCACATTGATACAAATTTCTATCTTTGAGGGTACAAATTGAGATTTTTGATATTTGATGATACAAATTGAGACTCGAATGATCTTTCAAGGTATAATTTGTAATTAACCCTAAAAAATTTTATTGTGCCACTACTTTTGTCTGGCCCCAGTTTTGAACGTGGGCTCCATTATGCAAAAACAACGAATGTCGTACATTGATTCTTATAACTCCGAATTCACTTTTAATACTACAGTGAGACCGGTCCTATCGAATGAAAATGTTGTTTCAATTAGGAGATTACCGGATGGAGTTGTTACTTCTTAAAGTCTATGGCATTGATTTTTTTTTTTTTTGGCGCCAATTACTAATTTTTGGGTTTAATTTAAAAAATTTTAGAATCAAGTTAGAACTGTTGAGGGTGTTTAGAAATGTTAAGATCGATCATAAATGCACAATATAACTTGACCATTAAAATTTATGACTTCATCTTAAAAAGTTGTATCGTGATCTCAAAAATTTATATAATAAAATACAATAGAATTCAAATATTAAAAAATAAATAAAATAATTTTTTTTCAGTTGAAATCTTTTTAAATTTTATTTTAAAGTTAATCCGACGACTAATATTAACATTCCAAATTTAATAGGAAAAATACACCCCTAATGTTGTGTTTTGGGTGACTTTTTAAAACTGCATGTAAAACTTATAATTTCTCATAAGTATTTTACAGAAAAATTAATGTTTTGAACTGCCCCATCACTACCACTATTACCACCACCTCCATCGCCTCACCATCATCATCATTACCACCACCATCGCCACCCTATTACCACAACTAACCCATAACCACCACTCTCACCGCCCCACCACAACACTCACCATCCCATCACCACTACAACCACCACCCAACCATTGTCATCGCCCCACCATCACCATCGTCCCTGCCCCTACAACCACCCACACCACTACCCCACCCTATCCCCGCTACTACCATTGTCACCCATCACCGATTACTACCATTGTCGTCCACTGTCACTATCATCGTCATATCATTTTTATATTTATTACCGCTATCACAATTATTACACTATCATCGTTGCCAACTGTTAGCACCCACCACCACCCACTACAACAACCCACCACCGCTCGTCGTCGCCCATCATCATTGCCAGCCACTGGCACCCACCCCCACCACCACTGCCATTTGTCACTACCCATCACACTGTCGCCCAGAAGCACCCGTCGTTGTCCACCACCTCCATCATCACCACCCACCACTGTCACTGCCAACCATTATCGCTGTCGCCCACCACCACTCACCCCCATTATAAATTGGAGTTTAAATTCTTTTATCTCTCTTTTATGTTTGTAATTTGATTTTGGGTGTGAATATAAATATGTTTATTGTTGATCATTTTTTTTATTATTCTATGTCTTTAGACATGAGTAATAACTAGTTCATAAATAAACCCCCAAAAGTTGTATATTTATCCACAAAAGTTATAAATTTTGATACCTACCTTTTTTAGTACCATGGTCAAACCCTATGTTTCTTTTTTCATGGTCAAACCCTATGTTTCTTCTTTTTCCCTCTGCAGAGCGGATTGATGGAGAGAATTGAAAAGAATAAAATGAGTAAATATGGAAAAGAACCAAAAGAATGTGATTTGGGTTTGACCATGCCGTTGGTTCATAATGCTTGCTAGGTGTTGAAATTTTGATAGCCTTGGTGACCAATTGGATTGAAATAAAGTAGACAAAGTAAGAAATAAAGTGAAAGAAGATAATGGGCATAAAGCTTGACAACGGTAAAGAAGAATAGGTTGCAGAATTTTTTTTTCTCTTTGCCTGGCTTTTATCACATTTTAGTAGGCTCCCCAATGGCTTCTTAAATAGAGATGCCTACACGAGATGTATTAACAACAACTCAAATATAAACTTATTGACTCAAACAACTCTAATCTAACTCTAACAACTACAATCAGGTTTATTTTAAAATTCAAACCATTCTAAACAGACTTAGTTTGAATTATTTCTAACACTAGGTTGATGGTTGTTGGTTGCCAAACTAAGATTTGCAACCTAGAGACCTTTTGTTGTGTTGTTTGTTTTCTCCTTGTTCTCTGCCTCTTGTCATAGCAGTTCATTTATTTATTTTTTTTGGTCAGACATTATTATTGAAAAAAGAGGACGATGAAATTTGAACCAACGATTTTAAGGTTGAATAACATGGGCGACGACTCTTAAGTAGGGTCGGCCCAACTATAGTAGCAAAAAAGTTTGGGCTTTAAGCCCCATAATTTTAGGAAGACCCCATAATTTTAGGTAAATAGTTGGCTCACTTCAAAATTTTAAGTCCATGAAAATTATAAGTTCTACAAAAAAACCCTAAGTTAAAATTTAAGGTCAATCAAAAATTTAAATTTTAATAATTTTTTGAACTCATGATTCATCCCATAATAATAAAAACCTAAAAAATTAAAAATTTATTAAAAAAAATTGATGATATACTTAAACGTCAAGTCATAATTTAGCTATCCATTATTAACCACATCTTCTCTCTTTCTCTCTCTCTCTCTCTCTCTAAAGCTCATCCCTTTCATTTTTATTCTCACTCTTCATATCAATTTCAAATAAAGAATTTTTTTTAATTGTTTATTTAACTTAAAAAATAAAATTATTAAATGTTGATAGTTTAAAAAAATTTATCTTGATTTCGGATATTTCTTAATATATAACAATTTTTTTTACATTGACAGTTTAGATTTATTTTAAAAATAAAATATTTTATAAATGAAAGAAAATACTCTAATTGAGACACCAATTTATATAAAATCATTAGATTTTTTTCTTCAAATGTATGCATTTCTTATAGAATATTATTATTAATTTTTGTAATAGTTACTTCTATAAAAAAAAGCTTTTCAAAATTAAAATCAATAAAATTTTATTTAAAATTGACTATCACAAATATATATATATAAAATTAGATTAGCGATATTATCAATGAAAAAAAATATGATAACAAAATTTAAATATAAAAACTCAATTTATACTTTTACAACTCAAAAAATGAAAAGAATTAATTTTAATCAAATTTTTTAACACTAAAAATAAAAAGGCCTCAAAATAAATTGCCGCTTTAGGCCAAAAATTACCTTGATCCGTCCCTGCTCTTAAGTCAACCATTAATCACAGTTCATCTACGAGGAACACAAAAACATGCACACTACACTCAGCTCACACACACATACACAAACATGTTACATTTTTGTGTCATTTTTTTTATTATTTTTTATCTTTGAATTTTTATTTTCTAACAAGTATTATTTGTGTTAATTATCTGTTGTGTAAAACCAACAAATAGTATCAGAGTTATATTCTAACAAATGGTATCAGAGCTAGATTCTGTGTTGGTTTATAATGCTTACTAGTTTGATGGTTATTGGTGGTCAATCTTAGTGGAAAAAGCATATAAGAGTCGATTTGTTTTGGTCAGAAATTATTACTAGGGAAAGGGATAACGAAATTCGAATAAGCGACTTTAAGATCTAACAACAAGGACAATGATCATTTAGACAACCGCTAACTTTTTACAGCAGTTCATTTAAGAGGTACACAATAACATGCACACTGCACTCTCTTACACACACATACACAAACACACTCTGATAGAGAAAGGCATGGGCACTCCACATGATGCAACTGCATCATGACATTCTTCAATGGTGTCCTTTTGTCAATGATGCTTAGGTAATGAGGGCATGATAGGCACATTTGGCCGTAGAGTAGGCTAGATTGACCGAGTATTGGAACTGAGAATTAGGACTAAAATATGAGACGCTGATAAATCGATTTTTTTGGTCTCACTTTTACTCATTTAAAATTCAAATTCTGTTTAACATATTAGTGTCACATCTTGACACTTTTGATAACTGTTTTTGATTACTATTTGATGAATCTAACGTTACTTTAAAAGTAGAATTTAAGTTTTGAATCAGAACTTAAAACTTTGAAAATTATATAATCTATCAGAAAACCTAGGCTCTTACTGTTGTATGGCCCTACTAGAGTCAATAGGGAATTGCTTTCCCACCATGTGAAATGCTTGGCTTATATTGTTTCTATGTCCTGTGTTTAGGGAAATCTTTCTCCCACAATTTTCTCACCTTTGGTTGGCCTCTGTTGTTAGGTGGTGATTGTGAACTAGGTTAGGAAGTGCAATTGGATGCTATCTAAGTGCCCCAGTTGAGGATTTAGGTCCAACTGTCTAAGGCTTAATGAACTGAAGGCTATGACTGTGCCAAACTTTCTATATGACTTTTGCCTTGTACTAACACAATTCATCTTTATAGTGGCCGTTGCGTGCCAGACTTGAGGTCTTTACGCTGCTACTACTACTATGATATGAGCGGTTTAAATGAAATTAATTTTTGATATACAAAATTTACGTTTTACAGTCTCAATCTATTTTATCATATGTACCCATCCCATTCAAACACATAGTCACCCAATTCAAAGATTTTATAAAGTTAAAAAAGTTGAAAGAGAATAAACAATTGGAAGTCATACAATGTGTAAAAAGTTAAATGACTGGCTAAATACACTGCAAGGATTTTGATTGGATTTTTTTTTTATTTGATAAAATCAAATCCAAGGGGCCAAAAGAAAGAAAAAAATGGAAGAAAGGTCTCTCAATGCTTATCTGGTGGTTGAACCTGACCTTTAGTAACCTAGAATTCTCAAGTTCAATCCCTTCTCATACCCCCTAAGGACTAGTCACCCTTGTCCCTTTAGGGACATGCTTTGACCCAGCTCAAGTTACGGTAGCCAATCGCTAAACTCGAAGGAGTAGTCGATGCAAACCCAAACATCCTATAGTCAAAAAAAAACCTAATTTGTTTGCTAGCATAATAGATAGAGAATGGTGTGGTGGTGGTATTTTGCTTCTCTCTCTCATTCTTCATTTTTCACCTTGGCTTTTTGTGGCAGTTGTTGCTACCACTATAAAATCCATCACATAATAATCTGCGATAAAAAGATATCATGAGCAGAAAATTGAACATCAAATATATTATTATGCCCTTAAAATCATTTTCCTGTCACAAAAGGATAGCCTATTCAACAGACCCAGAAAGCTCCACAGGGGTAGAAGCAGTCCTTGTGAAAGGTTCTGTATACCACTGATTAGCTGCACGAGTAATGAAGCTCGCCTCTGCAATCAAAATGTTTGTAATGAGCAAAGTCACAAGTTCTAAGGAAGCAGTTGGCAGCAAAGTAAGCATTGCAAACAGTAGGATATATGTAATTGGTGATTGGGCATATTGGTAATTTCACTATGGAAGCCATGCCAAGTTCCACACTTAATTGTCTGATAATAATAGTTATAGTCAAAACCCCCGAGATTCCTGCCACTGGAGAGTCTCGAAAGAGATGTATGCAATCTTACCCTGACGTATATAGGGAGAGTGTTTCAATTAGAGTTCACAACAGGTTTGAAATTATCATGGTTTCAATTAGAGTTGACAACAAGTCTTAACAGAAAACCAATTCCACTAGGCAGTCGCCATATTCAAAGATACTGTGCTTCAAGATTTACAATATGAATCCAAGTCAGGCTGCAACAAAGACAAGTATAGAACTTTGTTCTACACATCACCTCTAACAATAATTATTGATAATAGATTTAGGAACTAATTCATTAACCAAAAGACTTGCTGGCAATTGGAAGATTATTGGGTTCTTTTCACTAGTTTCCCTACATAAATACGTATGAAAGTGTTGCCAGTGACATGCTGGGGACAAAAATCATACTTGATACTGTCAAGTTTGTGATAATTTATGGTGTCCATATGTAAAGGACAAATAAACTGTACCAAGAAAAAGAAATATCAGTCAAACCAATGTTGGGGGGCCCTGGGGCCACAAATATGTATGAAATATATGATTCAAAGAATTTTTTCGAGTTTTTTTTTTTTTTGGTGGTGGGTCTGGGGGAGGAAAAGGGGGGGGGGGGGGGGGGAGTAAAGATGAGAATGTATTGGCTCTAATACCTACATTTTACAATACATTCAGTCGATTGCATTGTGGCTCCAAATGTCATTTTATTTCTTTATTTTTTTTTTCCTTTTGGCATTGTTTAATAACCACTTACCCCAAGGAATAAACAGACAGATAAATGATTAAACAAATAGTTAAAAGTTATCCTTTTTAAGATGTACAAGGATGTATAACCTGGGCTTCCCAGACAAAAAACCTGGACAGGTTATTTGTTGCTTACCTGAGACAAAGACATCTTTGTATTCACTATCATCATAGACAAATTGTGGGGGGTCTGGGGAACCGACGCCAACTATGGTGCTTCCACTGCATAGTGTAATGCAAAGCGAGTTATGATTCCATATGCAGAAAATGAAAGTAAGGTGATTACTTTTCAAGAATCAACATAAAATGTCTTATATTTCTAAAAGATTAAAAACTATTATTCTCCTCAACAGGGAAATATTCATATACATGGGTATACAAATTCAGGTAGAAAAAGAAAAGAGAAACAAAATATTGAATGCTACAATGCATATTTGGACCATTGGAACAGTGTACTGTTTAATTCCTACATTCTTAAAAACCACCTCACTTAGCGGCTCAAAGAACTCCTCAGATCGAGGTGAACAGTCCATTACTCCCACACACACCTCCTTCATTAAACTCACCTGATCTGTGGGTTAATATTTAGGGTCGGGGTACTATTGCATCAAATGACTATTTTGCCCCTAATTTTCACAATAATACCTTCATTCAATATCTCATCCAAACAAAGTATTATATGGGATGAGTGGGACCCACTAATCATGCAATACTTGAACCAAATAAGGGATGAGGAGAGGATTAGGAAATTCTTTTTCTTCTCTTAAGGATGATCGGTATGGGTTGGATGGGGTTGTCCACTCCGGTCAATCCTAATACCTAATCCAAACACACCCCTTATGTTCTAAAAGACAGGAGAGTTATGGCTCAGGCTCTTCAAAAAAACAAGAATTTCCTCCAAAGGACCACTGGGCAGTGAAATCTTTAAAACCCGAAAAGGATGGTCAAGTTGCAAAGCACCAGGTAAAGTCAGTATATCACTTTCTACTAAATTTAGTACGAATATCACAAACGTGACAAGGCTTTTTTTTTGTAAGTTAAGGCAAAATGAGTGGATAATAATTATGTTGTGTCATCGACTTTTCAAAGAAAGCCTCTACAATGTATTATACCTTGACATATTTCTATGTATAGCATATTCGTGACCCAACCCAAGGACAAAAAAGATTTTACGCTGGAGGGGGTGAATGGTGGCATAGTCAGAAATTTTATTAAATGATGTTATTCATTAAGTTGAGGTTGATGGCAAAGTTTTAGTTGTATACAACCTATCAGAATCAACTTTACCATGATATATTCGATTAGCTTAATTTCATCCCATAATAACTCGAGTACAACTAAATTCCAACTCAAATTCAACGCATTGTTCCTAATTTCAAGAGAAATTCCCCAAGTTAGTTAGCAATTATATCTCAATTTCAACAATTATAGCTTCCCAAATGACTATTCGTTTCTCATAAGCCTCAGAATTATAACGAGTTTTCCCAAACTACTATTACTATCCTATTTCCGTGAAAAAAATTATATTAGGGGCTTCCCATGCCATTTGAAATAAAACCTGAGCCAAGTAGGCGTGCCACCTGTAAAACAATGTCACTTCAGTTTGAAAACTGCAACTTAGGGTTTCTTTCTGTGAGTGGATCATACAACCTTACATACAAAGTTAATAAAAGCATATAAAACAACAAACAGAAACTTGATCTTTCTTTCACGAATGAGACTTATTATTGTCATTCCATGATGATCTGTACTTTCTTCAGCTTACTACTGAAGAGCTTTGAGTTCATAAATTCATTATCTAACATTAGCGGATACAGTTTCTGTGGGGTTCCAGGCAAATTGACAAATTTGGGCAGCTTGTATTGCAAGAGAGATCTGAACAACAGTGAGATTAAAGATGCTGCAGTACATTCAGCAAAGTAATCTAAAGGTTTAGCAGGCTCCCCTAGCATCATTCATGCACTACTTTAGTAATTTACTAGAAACGGCAGTTACAATGGAATATCAACATTGGCCATCAAGCAAATATGAAAGACCAATATGAAGCTAAGGAAGTTTGAGAATAATACAAATCCATGTCACTACCCTACAATCTCCAACTCAGCGAAGTTTGTTGGAAGAAAAATTATTAAGAGCTGCTTCATAAAATGTTAAAGTGTGAAAAAATAAATTTTAGGAACTTAGACCATATAAAAGCTAGAATTTTAAAATAGACATATTTCAAGAATGCCTACCTCCCAGACATGAAAACAGCACCATATTGTCCACAGCCTGCAGCAATTACTCGCTGTTTTAATCTTTTTAGAGATGGGAGGACTTCAAATGCAGGAGGTTCTGCCAAGATCACATAGTAATGTGTGAAATGCTAATAGTCTGGAATCTGGATTAAAGAAATGCCAAATCAACTTTGAAATATTTGGAGTCTAACACGCTCCAAGTTATAGTTCAGTAAATAAATAATAACTTTTCTATACAAATAACTTTCTGACTTGCCACAATCGCTTATCAGGTTTGAAATAAGTTGGTTTGGGGTAAACAGAAAGTAGAAGGGTTGTTTTGATACACGATGCTTTCAATTGCAGTGCCAATGATAAGAACAGAAGTAGATATATTGATGTACATGAATTAAACAAAATTATTCCTTGAACCCAAGTGATTTCAAGCCTGATATGAACTGTTGTGGCACATACATATAGAGCATAAGGTTAGTGTTCTTCATGAGTGCATTACCCAAATCATTGACGCATGCATCTTGAGATATTCCATTCTTTGAGATGTTCTCCAGCAAGGTTAAGGGATCAACCTTACTAGTTTGATCCAATCGAAGACGCTGTGAAATTAACTCCTCTTAGAAATAAAGGTTGGTGATAAAATAAGAAACTGACACTTTTAGGTTGTTCATCAACTTTAATCCATATTACCTTGTAAACTTCAGCTGTAGAACATGCCTGTGGAGGCTTCATGAGAACCATTGGAATGTCGAAAGGTACAGGTGGAGGGATATCTTCAACCACCTGAAAATAACCAAAGCAAGATTCTGTAATAGCCTTCATGAGGTGCAAAAAGTTGTTAGAGGAGCAAAAAGTGGTTCGAAGATTAGTCCACCAAGCCTTCAAGGGCATCAATTTGCTTTCTGGAAAGTTCAATTATATTTCTCATCAAAAAAGCCAGTTCCAGGAGAATGATGTTAGTGCAGGACAAGTGAGAGAAAAACATAGATACTGAGAACATACACACCCCAAAATGGTATGATTCCATGACCCAAATTGAAGTAATTACCGACCCTAATTTGTTAAACCTCAAATTGACCCATATCAAGATAGTCCCAAATTACTAAACTAACCCCAAATTGTGGTCATGGTTATTTCATTATTTTTGTGATCTTTTAAACTTATATTTTGAATTGCTATGATTTGACTTTTTTACATAATACAACTATGCAACCTTTAGCTTTTATCATTTAAAAATATTAACCAGGAACATCTTTTGGAATATCCTTCCTTCTTTGGAAATCTTACAAAAATAAATATTAGTAAGCTATGTGTATATGGATGAAGAATTATATAATTTATATAGTAGTGAAAGCAATCCATAAAAGTTACAAAGCAAATAACGATCTAAAATAGTGTAGCAGCTAAGTCTACCGATATGATACTACGTCCCAAATCGATCCACGTAACATTGGTAAAAAACTTGCTACAGTTTAAATCATCAAAATAGACATTGTGCAGTAAGAATAGGGTATTGTGAAACAAGCAGCTTCCTAGTGTTTGCAGGTGTTGATTTGAGAGCCTAAACGAGAGCTAAATGTTAGGTCGATAAGGCCAATTGAGTAAGGTTGCGGCTATGAGTAAGGGTTGGGCTGTTTAGGCTATTGTTCTTGTGCTGACGTTGAGAGAATTTCTCGAGGTTTTAGAGTTTTGAGGTTCAATGGATAAAATTTCAAGAATAAAATGATTTGGTTTTCTGGTATAAGATTTATATGGGTGAAAGAATGCTTATTCAAGGCTTTTCATACTTTGTCGAACCAGCAACTAGATATGGCATCAGGTGTGAACAATGACAGACAGACAATGTTAAATAAATACAAAAGGTGCTACTCATAATACTACAAGGTTCACGTATTGCAAGAGCTCATATAAGCATAAATTCCTGAACAGGTCTGCCCTTATCATGATATAGGTCTCTACTTCCAAATGTAGATCCAATCACTAATTATATAAAAATGATCGTTAACAATGACACCTGAATTTCCTCAAACAAAATAAAAAAAATTATTCTCAACTCTTCCCTTAGTTTTAGTTGTTTAAAATGCTAAACATTTAGATATACTTAGTAGATATCAAATAGACTATAGAGTCTCTTACACAAAGATTCAAGTTTCATAGCACATCATAAGCTGAACATATGAATTATACACAGTTTAAAGCTTTGACATTCTTGATTCCACTATGACTTTCCTTAATGAAAATGGAAATTCTGCCACATGGAAAATAGTACTTCGGTACTTCCCATTATTCACCAACTGCCTAAAAGCATAATACCAGTTGCAAGTTGCAACAATTTTTTTTGTCCTTTTCTTTTCCTTTTTTAAGTCCCTCTTGGGACCGTGTCAATTGTAGGACTTCAAGCAATATGATAAGAGCAGATAGTATGGCAAGTTTTGTAGGGTAAAGGTATGGCTTTCATCTGTTAAAAGAAGCAAAAGGAAAAAATAGTGATTTTGGAAGAATAATAGACCGTCATATTCTCTCTCCGTCTGCTACACTTTGGACAGTAAAATGAGAATGCAGAAAGAGTAACTTAACACTCATAAACGAGGGCATAATTTATAAGAAAAGATCTCAATCGTGGAAGAAAAATGTAAAAGCTGATGAAGGAAAGGAGATATCAAGAGATTATTGTCTTGTTACCTAAGTGGAGAGAGAACAAAAAATGATCAAAAAGTGAGAAACACTTCTGACAAATGAACATGAAATATGAGATTCTAAGAGAGATGACTTCTTTAACAATTAAACCAAAAGATGTCTATGATTCTGATACTAGTAGTATTTCTGCATTTAATAATTACCCAAATTAGCAGAAAAGCAATAGCTTTTTCAACATTTGTTCGCTCAACACAATTTTGTAAACTAAAATATTCAAATCCTGTCTGACCTGTTTACCGTGGGCTCACAAATCATTTTCCATTAGAGATCCAGCCTTAACGAAATATTGAAGACCATGCCAGGTACGTTTTTCCCAGATCACTTTGTTTGTATCCTATGTCCATCTCTTCTTATCAAATGAGCATTTCTTCAGTACCATGGTACTACTCACTATATAACTAATGGGTCTTAGGGTAGTAGCCAGTCATCTGAACTAATTTTGTTATTATTAGCTTTTTTCGGAAAGTTTGCTATTATTGTCACCAAATACAGATACTCCAAAGTTTCTTGATGTGCTAATAACTCATCTTAATCTGCTAATGTTAATATTATTCAATTTGTTTCAATTAACCCCATGTCCACTAGATTTCATAGACTTTCACTCATTGAAATTCCCAATATGACTTCTAGGGTGCCTAGGTTAACATGACTCTTATTTTTGAACTTAAAAAATGTTGTCGAACTTAGAAAAATGTTTTTGAAACTTGAAAGGATATTTTTGAGCAATTAAGAATCATGGAATGGAGTCTTGTTAAGTGACACTCCTTTTACTCAAAACCATTTCCTATTCTCTCGTTGCCATGTCATTGCCATCTCCATCACCATCCCTGTTAAATCTCAATATCCGACATGCACCCACTACACTTCCTCAACCATAGTGCAGACACCTTTCATTTGTTTAAGCTAAAGACATACCTCGCCTCTACCTGTGCAATAGGCAGCTCCGTGAGAGAAAAAGAAGGGAATATCTGAACCAATCTCACTAGACCATTCTTGGAGTTCCTTTTCTGTGGCAAGGCAACCACTGAATTGATTTGCTGCCCACAGAGCAGTTGCAGCATTACTGCTTCCACCACCAAGCCCAGCCCCAGTAGGCACTTTTTTATCAAGATGTATCTGCCCAAACAATAAAAGGAAAACGAAAACCAAGCCAGATCTTAGATAGCCACTCATCCAAAATAAAAATCCTAACAATACATTCATCTAAACATTTTGTGGGTTTTACCCAATAGTAGTTGTCGGTGCCAGTCTTTTTCCTGTATAGATTAAGGGCTTTTATGATCTGCAAAAGATGTTTGCCAAATTATGTACTTCACAATATAAAAATACATAATAAAATTGAGAAGGAACAAATAAGCTTATGCCTTTACCAAATTCTTGTCATCAAGGGGAACCCCAGAAACATTGGTTGACAGACGATCCTTAGATTTTGATGGTGACAAAGAGAATTTTATTTTATCTCCCAGACTAATCACCTGAAGATACAAAAGGGATCATGGAATTATTCTTTGAAGAATAATTTAAATTACTACAGAGCTTCAAGAAGTACACCTAATAAACAGAGAAAGCTTCTGAGTACCACGTTCAACGCGTTCATCAACTATGGGTTCTTTTGTTATCTATTTATACCCTCTAATCATAAATTTACTAGTCAAGAAAACTTACATGAAAGAGTGATGCCAAATCATGAAACCCATCTTCCCTCTTGCCTGTTATCCTCAAGAAAACATTTATCTGCACCCCACAGCACACCAGATTGGACAAAAATTAAGGAAACCCCAAAAGGAAGTGAAGTTTAATTCTCCGGATTTGGTTTACCTTACCTTGCAAGGCGAAAACAGAGTGAGCCTGGAAAGCCCAGCATTTTTATCCACTTCATCAGCTAATTTATTCAACTTTTCATCAAGGTCATACGTAATCTAACAAACCCACCAAAGCAAAATTCACAATAAATCCAAAATTACGTCCAATTACAGGAAACTACACTGAAACATTTCAATTCACAACAAAAAAAAGGGATAAATGTACCTCAACTTGTTTAGTGCCAGTTTTGGAATCAGAAGCGCCGGCTCTGATAAATTGGGTTCTACGGAATTGGAATTTTTGACTGAAGGAAGATGACCCCTGTGGCCTATATGAAGAAGATAGACATAGATTGCCTTTTGTGAAGGAATGGACTTGGTTTTTGCCATTACAAGAAGTGTAGAGGTGGTGACTGCAGAGAAAATGAGAGGAAGCCATGGCTACTGGAATGTATATGCTGTTATTTCACACTCACGTAATGCTTGAAGAAGGGTGCCAAATTGAAAGAGAGCTCAATCAGTCAACCGAAAGTAAGACAATGCTTTACATGTGTACTCTCTCTCTCTCCCCCCCCCCCCCAAAAAACAGAAGAAAATGGTAGGTGTGCCTCTCGTGCTCTCGTGTGTATATTTTCATAAGTTCATAACGGACAAAAATGGTATCCATTTGTTTTTGGGGTAGATTTCGGTCCTTTCGTGCCGTCATCGTTCATGGGGTGCTTTGCACTTTTTTAATGGGCTTTAAATCACCCAGTAATGATTAAAATATTGTTTTAAAATATTTTTAACATGTAAAATATTTTTGTTTTTAAAAAAATTACAATATATCATTAATAAAATCAAAATTATAATATTTTGATATTCGAGGTATTTTAAAATATTTTATTATATTTTAATACATTTGCACAATATTTTAAAAAATAATTCTTAAATTTTTATTTTTTTATTCTGTTTTTGAAACAGTCAAAACGTTTCTATTTCTTAGACACTTGATTAAGAATGAGATAATAGAATACTAATTATATATTGACTAAAAATCGTCAATTTTGCCTAGTTATTAATATTTTTATTTATTTGGTAAAATATTAAACTTATAACTTACTGCGTTTGAACTGGACTATTTGGACAAGTATTTAAAATAAGACTATATATAATACAAAATATTTTTTACAATCAAATGCAGTATAAGTTGGATTGTAGAGTTTTAATATGTTATAATTCTATAATTTATTATTTAATACTGGAACCAAAAGACATCATAATGTAATCGTTACACCACATCAATATTACTACATGATGTAATCGTCAAATAAAAAACAAACAAGTGCATAAGGTGAATCCCTTTTTTTCTAAAGGGTGGTTACTATCTTATATGGAGGGTATAATTATTTGAAGAAGTAAGATTCACTTTGCACATTTGTTGAATTATCAGCAAACAGTTATACCTGATAATAATACTGATGTAATTTAACTATTATAGTGAATATTTTCTCCTTTAGGTGCATTTATACCATTGTTCTTGCAAAATGAATGACATATAATGAAAATATCTCCAAAAAAAAAAACACCATTTCTTATACGGAAAATGTCGTGTCTATCAAAATTTTTATCGAATTTTGATCTCAAATGATGCAACACATTAATAGTTATTAGATGGTTAGCAAAAGTTTGTGTGATCTATTGATCTAATGATTCACAATTATCTTGGTGTAAAAGATTTAGGTGAATGTAACATTGTGTTAACGACAAAACTCTATTTTGGTGCATTATTTCGGTAATTTAGAAAATAGAAGCGAAAATATCTCAAAAATACTATAGAAATGAATATAAAATTTGAGAATTTATTTTTGAAAAATTAGGTGAAATACAAAAATATCTTGAAGTAACTCAAAAAAATTTAAAATATTAGTGAAAATATTTTGAAACATCTCACAATATTATAAGACACTTCAAAATATTTTAATTTCGATTCAATTATTAATTCGATTTGAGCCTACTTACAACCATTTCGTAGTAAAATTTTGGTCATTGCATTGTTACTCTTGAAAGTTAAAATACCCACTACTTCCTCCCCACTTGTCCCCCCAAAACACCTCTCATGACCACACACAACACCGCTTGCCCTCTAGAGACTAGTGCCCTAGAACACTCTCACCCTTTAAAACCTATGTACCCTCCTTTAAAGGCATGTTTGTTTCGGGTATTACATGGTATTATAAGGTGGGATAAAAGAAAATAGTATATGAGGTCCACTTATTATCTTGTTTGTTTAACATATTGAATGGGGTAAACCTCATGATTACACGTGACATAACATTAAATGTGCTCACGTGATGTTGATAAGACCAGTCACGTGATGAAGGATCTTCCACTAAGAGCTTTCTAACCGCGCCCAACTCATCAGCCCGTTCAGCTAAGCAGGATAAGAGCTCGGCTTGTACCAAGCCTAGTCTGTCAAAGTGCTTGACAAAGCAATTGAAGAAATCAGTTCGTACCAAACTAAGCTTCTTGATCTGTTCGGTACATGTCAAGTGTGCTCGGTGTTCGATATGTTCGAGCTGTTCAAAACGATAGATGAAAAGTTAAATATTCGCCTAAAATCTAGGCAATTAGATAAACGAAATCGATGAGATTGAAGATATGAAGAGAAATTGTTGGAGAAGTATCAGTAACTTCCCAAATTCAACCACTGAATTAAAGGAAGGTGTGCCACCTTGAACTTAAAATCGAGGAAACCCTAAGGGGATAATGATCTATAAAAAGCACAAGAGACTTAGGTGAAAGGTACACTGAATTCTCCTTATCTTGGTACAATTCTCTCTGTTCCATTACTGACTTAAGCATCGAAGTGCCTTCGATCGAAGCACTTCGATCTTGGGCAGTTTGTTCCTTTTGCAGGAAAGAGATTTGGAGATTGTTCAGTATTCTTTCCCAGAAATCACATCGCAAATTCACTATCAGAGGTATCTGCAATTTTTTGCCTCTACATTTTGGCGCCGTCTGTGGGAAATCAATTCTCAACTTTCAGAACAAAAAGCTACGATGTTAAGACTGAGGAGTGCAATTGGATCACACGTAGGCAGTTTTGCCTTGGAAAATTTTGATCATACGCCTTTTCCTTCTAATAGCAACGCAAGGTTACATGCAGTCAGAAGTCCCTCCAGAATCCACGAGGATGACGAAATATCCTTTGCGAGTTTCAAGCCGTCGAAAAATCAGAATCACCAAATCAAGGATCATGGTAATTCCCTCCGTGCCGAGGGGGAGAACCACTCCTTGGTAAAGTTGGTCCAGTCCCTGTAGGATTGACTTGATATCCATGATAAGCTGTTCAAGAAATCCTACGCCAGGGAGAAAGATTTGATCAAAGAAAACGAAGAATTAAAAGCCAAGTTGAAAGAGATAACTAGAAGGGAGAAGCGGGCGAGAAAGGATCGGCACCAAAGCCTAGGAAGAAAGCCTGGAAAAATTAGGATTGCTGATGAAGAAGTATAACGACAAAAGAAGCCTCGGATCCAGGAGGAAGACACCTGGAAGAAGTATATCAATGGAGAGCTCAATAATCGTTTGAAGAGACCTGAGCAGAGGTCGGCTAGGGATCTAGCCAGAAGAGCAACAGGAGAGTATGGAGACGAATTGGAGTCATCCCCATTTACTGCATGGGTCGAAAAGGCATGGATCCCGAGCAAGTTCATCATTCCGAACTTCAAGCTGTACAACTGAAAAATCGACTCAGCCTCACATATTAGACACTTATGACAACTCATAACCATTCACCGAAGAAACGAGCCCTTGCTTTGCACTATTTTTTCTAGCAGTCTTAGGGAGTCAGCCATGAAATGATTTGACAGCCTACCAAAGGGAACAATTGATGGGTGGTCTCAGTTGGTCGAGCTATTCACGGCTCGGTTCATCATCAGCAGTAAACAGTCAAAGGATGTTGGGGCTCTACTAACATTGAAAAAGAGAAATAACGAAAGCTTACGCGAGTATGCCCATCGCTATTGGCAAACTATGAATGAAGTTGAAGGGTGCAATCCAGAGATTGCAGTTGCGTCTTTCAAGATCGGGTTACCAAAAGAAAACCCTCTATACCAGTCCCTCACGAGAAGACCTGTTATCGACCTGGAAGAATTGATGGCAAGGATTGAAAAGTACGCCAAGGTTGATGATGACTTACTCAGGGAGGTGGTTAAGAGCATCCGAGCAGAAGACAGTTCGGTAGGGACAAGCAAACTGAGTCGAACAGAGAAGGGGGAAGGAAGTTTGAAAAAGAAGGATACCCCCAAAAGTCCCATTTTCTTGGGGTAAATACACTGTTTAAAGAACCGATATACAAAGTGCTAAATCAGATCAAGGGAAATTCGTTCTTCAAGTGGCCAAACAAACTAATGGGCGATCCCTCTAAAAGAAATCCAAACTTTAGGTGTTCCTATCATAGGGATTTTGGCCACATGACTAAGAATTGTCGATCTCTCAAGCAATATTTGGAGGAGCTGGTCCAGGCTGAACATCTGGCAAAATTCGTTGAAAGTAGGCAAAAAACTGAAGAGGGAAGAGCTGAGCAGAAAGGGGACCAAAACACACCAGTTGGAGTAATTGATGTGATACATGCTGCTACCAACCCTCAGATGTCCATAAACAACTCTGCTCGGGCTTACATTCAAAAAGAAGTCAAGGAAAGAGAAGTATACGAGCTGAGAATGACCCCGGAATTCACCAACAAAAGAATCAAGATAGAGGAGAAAGCTGAAGCGATTTGTTTCACCGAGCAGGACTTGGTCGGTGTACACCAGTCGCACAAAGATGCCCTAGTCATCACGCTTCGAATTACAAATTTTGACGTAAGAAGGGTCCTGATCGACACAGAGAGCTCATCAAAGATCATGTATTTGGATCTATTTGAAAAGCTCAATCTTAAGAAGGAGGACCTCAAGCCCTCAAATACGTCACTTATTGGTTTTAGTGGTAAAACAATTCTTCCTAAGGGGAAGATCATCTTGCCTGTAAAAGCGAGACTAGTGTGCATTATGATCGAGTTCCTGATAGTTGATACAATCTCAGCTTACAATGCAATAATGGGACGTACTTGGCTGCACGAGATGAAGGCAGTACCATCAACTTACCATCAAATGCTAAGGTTCCCATTGTCTGATGGAATAGTCAATATCTGAGGAGACTAGGTCTGCTCTAAAACTTGTTTATTGGCTTCTGTCAAACCTAAAGATAAGGTAGAGTCCCAAGAAAATAGCTCTCTGAAGGGACACGATAAATAACAATCAACATTTGACAGCTCGGTCAACACTGAGGATCAAGCTGTCAAAAGAAGCCCTAAAATACCTTTAGGCGAAGAAAGGGAGGCGACAGATCGAACAGTAGAGAACTTGACTAGAGTACCACTAAACAAAGATGGTGATCCAGAAAAATATTTTTTGTTGGGAGCAGCTCTTAACGCCGAACAGAAGGCAGAGCTAGTCGCCATACTACAAGAATATGCCGATGTGTTTGCATGGAATACCACTGACATGCTCGGCGTATCACCCGAAGTGACGTGTCATCATTTGAATGTCGATCCAAGCTTCAAACCAGTCAAG